AAATGCATTTAGCTTCTCAGCCATTTCCCTATCATCCTTCAGTACTCCTTTTACCCCTTGGTCATCCAAGGTCCTGCCGCCTGAGAAACCCAGCTCAGCAGCCTGGGCAGCCCTCTGCCTGCACAGACCCTGGCAGCGTTCAAGGTGCCACTTCTGTGATGATGGCACCATTGAGCATGATGATTCTGCTCCCGTTCTACTTGGCGGAGGGGGGCAGGCGGCAATGCAACAGTAAAGAAGAAAGTACAAGGGGAGCTTTCCCTGCTCAAACATGTATGACCAGCATGTGCCACAAAACCAGCCGGTGCCTTGTGACCAAAGCCCCTGTGAGAGCATCGTTGCTGGTTTCTGAATCAGTGCCGTCACAATTTGTGATCCCCCCCCCACGCCGCTACCTGCAGTTTCATGTTTCTGCAGCATCTCCACATCAACCTGGTCGTTCACTGCCAATCTTTCCCATCCTCCTACCTTGCATGGTCTGCGTCTGTGAAGGGAACAGTTCGAACACATTCCCCAACGTAATTCACTGGGAAGGGAAGCAGGAAATGGGTCTTCATCTGACATGGCTTGAAAGTAGGATCCTGGGAAAAGGAAAACCATTCCCCTTCAGTTACATCACCGCAGACAGAGCCTCGTAGGCAGAACACTTTCCCTTTTCGTACGCACCGAAGGACAGCAAGGAGCCTTTAAAATGCACACCGTGCCAAATGGACAATCCTATACAACTACTTGGACAGAGCACAAAATAGTAAAGCCAGGTTGTTGACTTGGGGACCACGATCCTCCAAGAAATGGTTCCAGAGGAGTAGCCATGGCAATCTGCAGGAGAAGGGCTAGATCCGAGTCCAGTCACACATTAAAGACCAACAAGATATCGGAGAGGATGAGCTTTCGGAAGTCAAAGCTCCCTTCATCAGAGATCTCTTGGCCAAAAGTCTTGCTGGTCTTGAAGGTGGTACAAACCTAGCAATATCGCTTAAGGGGCATTATAATTGGAGAACCTGAATCTGAACCCTCCTGGACCGGGGTCAAGGTCAGGGGCCATTTCAGAACAGGCACCCATTTGCTGCAGTCCAATGTTTGGGACTGGGAAAGAGCCCATGGGTGGGGAAGAGTCTACCAAGGTGACCCACACTCCCCCACATATAACCACAAAGGACATCCCCTTGGGCTTTCTGCGAGGGAGGGACAGTGCAGCATTCTTCCCTGGTTTGGAAGCCACATACGCAAGAGGAATCCCACATTCTGGTCTCCTGGACGGAAACAGCAACTACATGCATTGTCCAGCACATGGAAGAGAACGGCATACCTCTTGCACACAAAGCCTGTTTGAATGTTTCTATTGCACAGCCGGCACTAACAATCAAGGTCTTACAGGGACGCAGGCATTAGTACTCTAATCTATCACACTTTCCCCACTCTTCCCAAGGAACTCAGGGTGGGGCACAGGAGTATGCTCTCCTAAATTCCTGGCACCTCTCCATGGACCAAAACGAGTGCCATTCACGGTGTAGTGGGGTGTGATACTGGCAACAGCCACATAATCCAAACGAGCCAGACTTACTGTGATGAGTTTCCTTGTGATCTGAGCACTTCCGGGTGCCCCACCTGCAGCAGCTTTGGGATCCGACGGTTTCTGGGAATATGAGATTTGGTTGAAATAGCAGAGACACCATCCTTTTCCTTGGCCAACCGTGCTGCTTCCCCACGGACCTCTTTTGCAGCACCCGCCCACCCATGCTAGCGGCAGTACAACTAATATGCCTGACAGCAAGGCAATACGGCAAGGGTGCATCCTCGATCCTGATCTCTATGTGCAAAATCAGGTAAAATATATTTAATTACTCAGTTAAAATTCCCCATAAATTCCCTATGCATTTCGCCAACAAGATCAGTGCTCCCTCCGAAGAACTACTGCAAGAAGAATGAGATTCCCTCGACGATGCCTGTTGGTGAAACACGTAGGGAATTTGGGGGGAATTTTAACTGATTAATCAAAATATAAACAAAATATATTTTAACCTAATTTTGCACCATCGGCCTTGGCCTTATCTTGTATCTTCTGTGACTGGTGTGGCTCTTTTATTTTTCCCCCAAATCTCTGTGTGTCATCTTTGCATGCGAAGGGATGGATGTAGGATTGTGCCCGGATGGCACCTGAAGGCCAAAGGGCTTCTGCTATGAATCACTAGGTGCTGGCCGGGAGGCCCAAATATACGGGGGAAGTCCCTCAGTACTTTTCTAGTGGGATGACTAAATCAATAGATGCCTAGGACAAGATTAACATAGAACACTGATTTTGTTCAGCATTCCATGTGTATCGTCTTCTTGCAATTCTTCCAACAACCCTGCAAGGCAGAGTAGCATTATTAATCCTATATCGCCAAGGGGGAGAGCTGAGGCTTGCCTAAGAAAGTTTGTGACAAGTGATGAGATCTGGACACTCCCCCCCCACCCCCCATCCACAGGCACAGCCCTGATCCTATGCATTAAAGCCCACAATGTTTGTATTCAAGAAAGAAGAGAAGAGGAGGAGACTGGATTTATACCCCACCCTTCACTTGGGAATCTCAGAGCGGCTTACAATCTCACTTCCCTTCCCCACAACAGACACCCTGTGAGGTAGGTGGGGCTGAAAGAACTCTGAGAGAACAGCTCTGAGAACTTGTGACCGACCCATGGTCACCCAGCTGGCTACATGTGAAGGAGTGGGGAATCAAACCCGGTTTTCCCAGATTAGAGTCCACACTCCAAACCACTAGTGGCATTCACTGAACACCTGGTAGGGAGCAAGTTCGCACACAGTCAGCGGCCAGAAACAAAGTTCTTTGGTGTGGGGGGAATCTGTTGCCCCCAAAGCCCCACCTGCCTGGGCTGAAGCGTACCACCCTTAGTGAGGTACGATCAATATACTGACACCTGGACTCTCAAGACAGTAATCTTGAGATGCACTCAAAGTCAATTTGTTCTGAGATGCCAACTTCAAGAGTATCGTTTTTGAAAGGCAAGGGCTCTTCTGTCAACCAGCTGTATCGGAAAAGAATGCAATTTCTGTCTTAGGTGTAATTCAATATGAGTGTTACGCCCTCCAGGAAGCACTATGGTAGAAAAACACGGATGACTTTGTGGCAGGCTGTGGTACAGATGGGGTTTCATCAGAGCGGCTTAGGTGAAATGCCTGCCTCCAGGTACTTTGGAACAATAAGGCCCACTGGCACCCACTGGCTGAGATTTTGCTGCCATTAATTTGCAGGAGATCACTGAACGGGACTGACAACATTGCATGCTTGAGCCCTCAGAATAGCCAGGGGAAGCCCAACATGTTTGGAGTAAATTTTGGAAATAATACAAAGCTCTTTGCTGAGGGCTACCCTAGGACAGGACTACTCTAGAGATGTGATACAATAAATTTCAGGTACTCTGCATCACTGTATTGAACCCCGTGTTGGCTGGCCCATCTAGGTAACAAAAGCTGTCCAACAAAGTCACTGGTGGGAGGTAGGACAGGGGTCTCTACATACACAGGGGTCTACCAAAATATGCAGAAAAACAGGCCTTTGAAAATTAATACAAAAGGGAGAAAAGGGGTGGGTGGGGAAGAGTCCCAGAATGCCTGACAAGGGCTAAATATGACCCAGAAGAGGTGGAATGTTGAGCTCTACTAGATATCAGTTAAGAAGGTAAGAAGACTCTTGCTGGATCAAAGCAGCAGTCCAGCATCCTGTCTCACACAGCAGCCAACCAGTTACTTCTGAAGGGCCAACAACAAGGGATAGAAGCACAGGCCATCCCCTGATGTTGCCTCCTGGCACTGGGGTTCAGAGGCTTACTGCCTCTGAACATGGAGGCTCCATTTAGTTACCATGCCTAGTAGCCACTGCTAGACCCATCCTCCATGAATCTGTCTCATCTCCTTTTAAAGCCATCTATCAAGAAGGAAGATTCAGGCACCTCAGCTCCTCAGGATTTAGAGAATCCTGGAGGGATATTATTTTAGGGAGTGGGGATTCCCAGATTATTTCTGCCTGCCCCTATGTGACTTCTTGCAGGCCTTTCAGCTTGTACTGCTGCAAGGATCAGCTTTGAGGCTCAAGAGAGCCGTCTGGAGCCCCTGAGAGGTGCTTCTATTTGGAATCAACAGCACTGGCGATGGACCCTGTCAATCATCTCACTCAGCAAGGATCAGCTTTGAGGCTCAAGAGAGCCATCTGGAGCCCCTGAGAGGTGCTGCTATTTGGAATCAACAGCACTGGAGATGGACCCTGTCAATCATCTCACTCAAATCATTCAGCAGGGGAAGGCCCATTTCCTAGTCAAGTATACAATGTGTCTATGCACAACGTCAGCTCAGAGAATCTCACCGCATGTTGTCACTATTTAACAGGTGCTTCTTGATCCGGGGCAGTTTGCGCAGCACTGGCTTAATATCAGACATTTCCGCAATTCGCTTCATCAGCTTCACCTGAAATAAATTGATTTGGGAGGGGGGGAGAGACAGTAAACACATCCAGACCCAAAATATAAAACCAAGCATCGCTGGAGAAATTCCACCAGACACTGTTACTGTGAAGCCACCACATACATCAAAGTGGTGATCCCAGCATCCCAGGCAAACTTCACATACAGAGCTGTCCTGTCTGGTCCATCTCGCTCAAAACTGACCAACAGGCTATGGCTCCCCAGGGCCTTGAGCGTGTCCTTCCCAACAGCCATGACCAGGGACCCTTGAACCGGAGATGCCAGGGATTGAACCTGGGAGCTTACGCACACAAAACAAGTGTACTGAGACGTAGCAGCAGCGTACCTCTCTCTGTGTGTCTGTGTGTTCTACAGTGGCTCTGTCCTGCTTTCGAATATAGCAAGGTAGCATTTAGACAGCGATTTACAATGTTCAAAATGCTTCTTGTCTGTTCCTATGCTGAAATTGTCACAGCATCATTAAAAGGCAGGTCACCAATGTTATCCCCATTGTAGAATCTAAGGGGAAGAGGGAAGCCTGCCTTTGCTAAGACCATCACGAGAGTTTAAGGCAGACGTGAGACCCAGCTGGGGACTTCCAGCTTCATATTTTTGCTTGCACTCTATTTCCTGCACCCGTCCCAACATGTTGGTGTAAAGGGAAGACATATCCCAATCAAATTCCCCCAGCATACTGGCTTCAAAAAAATAATAATAATCATTATGACACCCTGGTTTGTTCATGCAAGCAAAGGGTACTATTTGCTCAGTAAAGCCAGCATCTCCCATCCCATGCACTGGAGCAACACTGCCACATAAAGGAGGCCGCACGGCAGGGTCCCCTATCTGAATGGATGCAACAGCTCCCTTGCTGCTAATGGAAAAGAGGCAGGCTGTACCCAGAATGCCTCAGCAGCCTCACGGATTCCAAAACTCAAGCCTCTCCCTGCCCGCACCCGGGCTTCACCTGCTCCATGCCGTCAAACATCTCTTGCAACTCTCCCGCAGGCGTCAGGGTTCTGCTAGCCCTAATCGAGGCGTACAGGTGTCCAGAATCGGGGATCCCATTTGACAGCTCCTGAGCGGTCATCTTCACCAACACTTTGAAATGTCCCTCGTCTTCAAAATGGGGGCTACAAAAGGTGGGAGGGGGAGAAAGAAAAGGAAAATGAACCGCCCACTGCAGCCAGCTCTCAGGACCAAAGCGCTGAATGCTCTGAAGCTCCCGCCAAGCCTTGAAGACCAGGGGGCCTTCCCAAAGTCTCGCTAGAATCCCCAGGACTGGCAGAGAGCTCATTTGCATCATCTCCCCTTGCACCCAGCCTGAACATCCAAGATGTGCAGAAAAGTAACTGCCCCAGTAAATGAACCGAAGGCAAGCGATTCTATTGCTTCTGTCAAGGAGGGCTGGGCTTCCTGAGCTCCTCAGATGAGACCCGCCCCCCCAAAAGCTACATGAAAGCTGTCTCCTGTTATACGGAGGAAGAGGATAATACCCTTCATTATGTGGGCAGCTCATAATACAGTAGTCAAGCACTTGCTGCGAACATACAAGGGCTTGGGTTCGAATTCCTGACATTTCTAGTTAATAAATCTCAGGTAGCAGAGAGAAAGCTTGGAAAGATACAACAGTGGAGAAGAGACCCATGGTCTTGCCTCAGTATAAAGGACACTCCATACATTATTAAGATATTGCTATCCCGAACTGCAAAGGATGGGACACAAGTGTATATATTACAGTTATACATAAAGCCAAAAACAGAACTTTCTTGCGGCTAAGTATTAAGAAAAAATTATGAACACTAAATGCAGTATACTCGGAGACCTGTAAACCTTGATTCTCTTTTGTAAGCGTAATAATTATCGTCAGGGCTATTTTTGGGCAAGAACGCACAGGAACGGAGTTCCGGCTGGCTTCAGAGTTGCCCATGCCCACTACAGCCAAAACCTCTGCCTGTGCCTGGTTACAGAGGGAAGGCCTGGAGAGCGACCCCCCCCCCCCGGCGACTCCAAGGCGGGTGGGCCAGGGGGCCCCTGGAAGGATCGGGGAGGCATTTAAATGCCTCCCCATGCCTTCCCCGGCCTGTCCAAGGGCCAGCTTGCCAGGGCTCCTCGCAGCCGTGGGGTGCCCAGGCAAGCCAAGGGAAGGCAGTTTAAACTGCCTTCCCTTACCTTCAAGGGGGGACTTGCCCGGGCTCCCCGTAGCCGTGGGGCGCCCAGGCAAGCCAAGGGAAGGCATGGGGGTGTGGCCTAATATGCTAATGAGCTGTCCTGGCAGCCTGAAACTCTAGCTCTATGACGAGCTAAGTTTGTTTTGGGGGCTGAGAGAATGGTGACTGACCCAAGGCCACCCAAATGGCTTCATGTGGAGGAGTGGGGAATCAAACCCAATTCTTGGAGTCCCCAACTCTTAACCACAACACCAAACTGGCTGTCTTCGTAAAACCTGCCTGCCTTATGTCTTCTGAGCAAAAACACCACAGCTAGGGTTACCAGATCCTACCTGCAATCCGGCGGGGGCTCCTGGGTCGCACCCAGGATCTTCTGCTGTGTATGCAAAGCAATGATGTCACGCTGAATCACAGCCCCAAAAAACGCGGGAACCCCCACCCGGACTGGAGGTCTGGCAACCCTAACCACAGCCCAGAGCATGGCCTGCCAGGATCAGCAAGCTTCCATGTGCTAGACTAGCAAGCCCTGCTCTGATGATGTCATCAGCAGGTGACAACAGCTCAGAGCAGCTGTTTAGTGGGCCACTGAACTCTGGGTCATGTGATGGAGAAGAGATAAAGCAGGCTCAATTATGCTTGAGTTAGATCTATGCAGATTGACCGCAAGTAACATTTTCAAGCTCTGACATGTATAAAAAAAGCAACCTTATTAGGTAGGCTTCAGGAAAATAAATATTCATAATAAAAAAGAATAGTCATCCAAAATATACAGTACGTGTTGAATATTTCTGTCCACAGGTGCATCATGTCTGGCAGATTTTTATCAAGACACAGTGAAGAGAAGAGCACCCCCTAAAAGGAGAGATGGGGGGGGGAATTAGGCCTCTAGAGAAACAAGGAAAAATCCAGACATCATGAGTGGTCCTTAATAACTTTAAATGTATATTTCAAAGGTGAGAAGATGGGACCTTGAACTGACTGAGATGTGCAGTACGAGACGAGATTGCTTTGCCCTTTCACAAACATTCTTCCCCCCAATCTAAATCTGCCCCCCCACACACACTCTACATGCCCCATCCCCTTAGAGAGAGTGAGCCTCTGAGTACTCAAATGTTCCCATGGCATTTCTCTCCATCATTCTTTCCATCCACACTACAAAACCAGCCAGTCTCCTCAGCCCCATACGACAGACAGGGACTGAGACCAAGAGACCAAGGCCCACGTCTCACCTCTGTCCTGTTTTCAATAGGTGTGAGATGTGAACCCGGAGCCTCCTGATTCACGCAGCTTTCTTAATCGCTGCATCATAACAATTAGTGTCACAAACCTACTTTCAGATGACCCAAGACTGCCTAGGGGTCACATTACATTGAGAGAAATGGGAGTGGTCGTTAAGGCAACAATACACTGGGAAATGATTCAGTAGGGCTCGTGTTTGATGCTCTGGACCGTAAATTCATCCCAATCACATCACCCCTGATGTGAGATCCCTACGTGGAGAGCCACTTGCCTGTTCGTACACATCCAGATGGGAGCAGTCCGCAGTGATATGCGGGCTGACAGAAAGCCCGCCGGTCTTCAAGTCAATTTCTTGAGCCTGTTCCCTGTAACTGAGAGCTCCACATCCCATTCTGTAAAAGGAAGAGAGGAGAGTCGGGGTCTTCATTCAAGATTGCAGTGGCCAACAAAATCCACTAGCATGGACGGCTTCAAAAGGGAATTAGATAGGCATATGGAGCAGAGGTCCATCGGTGGCTATTAGCCACAAGGTATAGATAGGGACTCTCAGGCTGGGGCAAGTGATGCTCTGTCTTCTTGGTGCTTGGGGGGGGGCAACAGTGAGAGAGCTTCTAGTGTCCTGGCGCCACTGCTGGACCTCCTGATGGCACCTGGTATTTTTGGCCACTGTGCGAAAGAGTCTGGATGGGCCATTGGCCTGATCCAACATTGGCTTCTCTTATGTTCTTATCCCCAAAAAACTATCCCTCCAAATGGCCAACCAATCCTGCAAATCAAGTCTCTCTGAATACATAATGTATGCTTTGTGTAATTCCTTTTTTAGTTCTTTGCATTAACTTGAGCAGTGATGGACCACACAGATTACTCTAGTGCCAGCTTCTTTACTAGATAAAGCAGCTCCCAGCCGCCATTTCCCCCTGTGAGGTCGGCGAGGCTGAGGGTGTGTGATTGGCCAAGATCACCCAGGAAGTTCCCATGGCAGAGAAGGGTTTCAAACCTGGGTCTCCAAGACCCTAGTCCAGCACTCTATATAATCACTGCTGTCGCTCCAACACTGACATTAGAAAAGATCAGATGAGAGCATTTCAGATTCACTCCTAGAAAGGGGTGGTGGGGGGGGAAGATCTAAAAGTTGTCAGAACATTCCCTGCCTCTCTGCAGCGTCTTTGGCTAGTAGAGCAGCACGGGTGGATGTGATGTTAAAACTCTACACACAACAATAAAGTATCCCAGGCTTCTGCCTGCTGAATGATCTTTTCCCCCTGGAACGCTCCCCTCCCCAGTCTCCTGTCCTGCCTTCCCTAGCCTAAAGACCTCCCAAGGTGCTGTGGAGGGTGTGCTTCTTAAGCATAAGCTTACGACACGTGCAGCTGCACCCAAGCCAACGCTACAACTACTCAACCATCCAGATCTGCCACCTGCATCTCAATGAGACACCTTTGCTGATTCAGGCCCTCATCCCCAGGGGAAACGAGCACCCCAAAGCAAAGAGAAGAGAAGAAGAAGCAGGGATAACGAAAGGGGATTTTCAAAAGCTCCTCTGTGTTCTGGTTTTAGGAACTGTTACTATTTCATATCTGCAAAATCTTATACTTGTCATTTTCAGTCTAACAGTACTGCCCGTCGTACCCAGTGGACCAAACAGAACACAGTTGACTTGGTCCTTACCGTAGAAGAAGGCTGCTGCCACAGTCTGCATTCTACCAACTGAATTAGCAATTTATTATTTCTCAAACCTCTGTTTTATTTATCCTGGTCTTCCTCCAGCTGCATATTGTACTTTGCACTTCATTATGGTGAAATAAAAACAAAAACATAACTGACTGGCTGGCTGGCTGGCTGGCTGGGGGGAGAGGGAGTAAAGGGATCCCTTGCAAGCACCCCTTATCAAAATTTGCTAGGGTATTATCCACAATGGACTCAAATGGCAGATCCTCTTACTTGGTTATGACGCTGCAAAAGAGTGGCACGTAGGGTCTCAGTTCTTCTGGGAGGGTGTTAAGACTGGAGACAGCTCTGAAGTACACCACACCATTCGTGGGCTGAGCACAGTACTGGACGGGGACATCCTCCGCTGCAGGAAGGGCACACACACACACAAACATTAGCTCCCTGATCCTAGAAGTTAAGAATGCAAGAAGAGCCCTCTATTGAGATATATGTCAGTGTGAAGGAAGCAGTTACTATAGATCAGTTTGATCTATTTGTCAGACCTACCTGTCATGCTAGTAATCATGTAATTACAGCCAGGTGTTTTCTAGCAGGTGTTACTCTTTCAGGGCTTGTTAGAGTTAGTGATTGCATCACCCTGTTAGAGACTGGCTGGGGTTTAGCATAATAGCTATCAGCTTAGTAAGCTGGAGGGGACTTAGTTCTCATAGACTAAGGCACGACATGCTGTAC